TCCTCGAGCTCACAAACACTCAGGAGAAGTGGCACAAGGCCGCTTGATGACCTCACCGCCCCACGCAGTGAGAGGTCGATGAGTCACCTGAGGACCACATCCCCGGACTCACAAATCTGATCCCGACCAGACAATTCGGGGCTCAACAAAACCTCACTCGAACAACATAACCAAAAAGCACGTGTGGTCAAACCGCATATAGCAAACACAAGACCAAGAGCCTCGCCAGAAAGGCCCATGGTTGCCCCGCAACCTCACTACCCCACGTACAAGAGGTCTATGACCCACTCAAAGAACCTTGCTTCAATACCAATGAGCCCAAATCCAACCAAACAGCCAGGGGGCTCATCACAATAGCTTCGCAAGAAGCCACATAAACTCCAGAAGTAGGATTCCTTGAGCTTTTATTCATGTTTCATGATTACAAAGCAATGTGCGGTCGATCTACACACAAGGAATATAAAAGCTGATACCACCTTGGAAGTGGTATCGTTAGAAAGCCTTCAGGGAGCACATCACAGGGGGAGGTGAGGTGAAGCAAAAAATGACTCACAAGCCCCCTGCAGCAAGGCAGCCCTCAAGAAACAAAGTGCGGGGTGGAGGAGAGCGGCAGGACTGCCTATGTCCAACAACCACCTTGGCAACCACTCTGGTGCCAAGATGGAGCAAAATAGAGGCCAAAGTGCAGCCATGTCACCAAGGCTGCACAGCCCCCTACACGGCAGCCATGCCACACTTTCCTTCCCTACTCACAAGACCCCTTCTAGCACCAGTTGTCAAAGGGGCACCACCAGTGACCCCCAGTGGGATGCAAAACGAGAACCGCACGGTTCTCCTCAGACTTTTCTCCCTCATCTCTTCATTCTCTCAACACCTAACCGCTTAGAGAGGCGAAAGAACAGTTCATAGTAACGGTCATGGGTGCCTCAAATAGTAGAAAGGCCTCCATTTATAGGCTAGGGATGGACTAAATACCCAGAGACCCCCACACCATGTGGTGAGCCATGGGAGGTCACAACCAATGTCGGATGCCCGTGTGAGGTCGGGAAATCAAGACTCTTATAAAGACAAGACTGGTATAGCGCCAATGAGACCACTCGGTCCTGCCTGGGTCACGAACCCCGATACGCAGCACACTGACATGGTAGGGCTTAGCGGTCATGCACCACATCGTCAGGGTGTCCTGACGTGGCGGAACACAATGGCCACCTACCGCATTGAACGCACTAACCCACAAGGGGTCAAGCGATGAAGCTCGAACAAGTCACAACTATGAACCCACACTCAACCAACACGCATCTCAGCATTTTCACGATCACTCCATGATCGCAAAAATGCTCGGGCGCTACTATCGAGGTTATATCCCTAGGTATCTCAAGGCAACGATTAGTTAGCAGGCCAAGCGACCTATGATACGTCAGCCTAGCGAAGGCCCAAATGACCGAGGCCCAGATGAGCCAAGGGAACCAGAACGGACACCAAGGCCAGGGTCAGTCATGACCTCTCCCTTTTGCCTTAGTCGAATGATGCACAAGAGACTCATGACCTCTCCACCGTCCTGACCCCTGGGAGGAATGAGGAGAGATCAAACCTAGCCACGCATGCCTGCTTTGATAGGAGAGAGCACACCGCACTGACTCCGCAAGGACTGAGGGGACAACAGTCACCTCAGTCTGGTCAGACGCCATCCTTACACCACACAGCACGGACAAGACAACACCACCCGGCAGTGACAGTCAGTACGGTGACCCACCGTCCAAATAAGGTCCAACAAGACGCATGTATGATTCTACCCACTACGGGATGGGATCCATGATGGAGGCCTTGACTTAGAGGCCATTCGGACCGGTGGGAGCCACGACCCCAAAGCACGGGATCGTGGCCACCTACTCCTCAAGACAACCAGGTAATCGGCGGCCTGGGGGCGGCTACCAACTCTGGTACAACACCCCTAGGAGACAGGAGGCGATGATGAAGGCCATAATGGAGAACACGTCGCAAAGGACGGCTGGCGCACCATCATCGTGTCTACAGTGCCACCATGGCCGGCATAGTAGCACCATGCCACACCTTACCATGATGTTGGCACAAGAACATAACGACAACCACGCCCAGGCGTACTTCACAAGATGGCAAAGCTTAAAAGCCAAGTTAGCTAGGCCCCTCCCTCATGCTCATGACCCCTCGGTTGGGAGAACCTTCTTCTTTGTACCTACCCTGGCCCCGAACTCTATATAAGGGCAGCCAGGGCATCATCCTTCCCATCATCTTGAATCTTACACATTCTCTCATTCATTCCTCACACCACCGGACTCCTGAAGCTTCCCTTCAGGTAGTTCATCTTTTAGCTCTAGTTCTCCTACCTCTTCCACCATTCTTGCACCCCCCATTGTAAGAACTTCAGAGCATTCAAGCGAGGAACACACACTCGATCATCTTTGAGACTAGACGTAGGGCTCCAGCCTAAACCAGTATAAATTCTCGTATCTTTTGGATGCTACCACCATCTTCCTAGAGCAGTGCGGCAATCGTATAAATTTACTAGTCTGGTTTACGAAACATCGACGGTGCCGCTGCGAGTGCGCTTCCCCCAACAAATGGTGATTAATTGTATGAGCACCGGTGGTAGGAACCAACCAATGTTTATAGAGCCCTTCAAGACATATTCCGACTCGCATGGGCTATAATTTTGTCCATAAAATTTTAATCCCCACCCCCGCACCTGCTACTTGACATGCCTGCTTCATGGCGCGGCTCGGTTAAGTTTTATTGTAGTAGCGCGCACCCCTCCTCCCTTTCGCACCATTGTTCCCACTCACCATGACCCCTACCAGCCTTCAAGCCTGCTCCCCTCAAGCATTCTCATCGACATGTCTGCTCGTCGCCAACCTTGTTCACCTATTGAGTCAGTTCATAGGCAACCGACAACAAAGGCACCCCAACTTGCCACCTCCTATCTTGAGTAGCGTGCACACTCGCTGCCAGCTCTCCTTAGCCGCCTACGTCGACATCTTCGATGAGCCTCATCTGTCCTACCTGGACAACATTCTTCGAGATGCTTAAACACAAGTATAGAGGTGTCTTACGTGTCTACCAAGGATTTTGGTGACATATACATTGGTACAGAAGTGATGCTATTCTTCCAAAATTCCTAGCTACTTTCTCCCATGGATAAACTCATTCAATATGATCAGTTTTGTCAATCTATGATTCCAACATGAGATAAATGAATAACAAAACTGAATTACACAAATTCTTTCTGTATAAATTTTATAATCAATTTACATATTTGGCTACAATATGATCTTGGAATTGTGACTTGTCACTTAAGTTTGCTAGTATTTGCTCGCCTTTTACTAGTTAAGCATTATCTATTTCAATTAAGCTATGTATATCTATACCGGTCAACTCAAGTACATCCTTTTTTCAGGGCAGATCCTTGTGAAAACAATGGCAATCATACCACATCCTTACCTTTAACTAACCAACATTGTTGGCCGAAGGAGGCGCAGTTTATCTGCGTGTTGAAAAAATCCCCTCGTCTACCCCACGCCAAAGAACAGGTCTAAGGCTAGCCAAGTCTCACGGGAGCTGCGGTGCCACTGTGTATGGGTCGGGCAGAGGTTCTGGGGTTTTCTCGACCTACATGAGAATGTCTTCTTCTTAAGAAAAATGCCCAAGGGCTGTCTTACTCCCTGTGGGTCGAGTTTTTTTTATTATAAACAATTTCACATAGAGACTACGACAAGTATGGCAAAAAGAGCTTGAAACATGGCCAAGTTCATATCAATTATTGTATACTACCCAATGAATTATATAAACCTCTATAGCCTACTTTAAGATTCAAACTTTGTGAATTCATACGTTTTTTTGCTACCCCCACCCTGTGCCAATGTTTTAAAGGTGTCGCCTAGGCGACGACTAGGCATCCAGGCGATGAAAATGTCTAGACGTCGGGGGTCACCTAGCTAGGAGTCATATGGCGTCTGCCTCGGTGTCTAAGGCATCCGCCTTTCGCGTTAGGTGTCTGGGGCATCGCCAACAGGCCTGAGGCGGTCGCCATACTCGTGAGCAGCCGCGCGTGGGCAAGGGAAGGAACCCAGGGTGGGAAATCGCTCCTGCGTGGGACTTCTCCCACCTTCCATCGTTTCCTACGCACGCGCGTAGAGGAAATTGCATGGGAATAGAGAGGGATTGTGAGAGATAGGGAATTAGAAGAGAGAGATGGAAAGGCAGACCATGCTGGAGTTTCTTCCCCACTCGCTATCAGGTCCCGCTCGTCCTCTCGCGTGCGTCCGCTCGAAAGTCCACTCAGAGCCATGAGTCCTCCCGCGCGCATCTGCTTGCCCGTCTTCTGCTTCCTCTGTGCGGACCCGTGCATTCGTCCGCACGGACTAGGAGGGCCAGGACGACCAACTTCTTCTGCGGACCCAGGATGACTTCACCAGTGCCTAGCTCCGCTCAGCCTTCATGCTAGCCCTCCACTGGACCAGGTATCCCTCGCCTCCTCTCTCTCTGTTTCTCTTAAAAGGGTCCAAAGCTTACATGTGGCATGTGCTGCTGTCCCCTGCTTTATTTGCTTTTCCTCTTAAAAGGGTCCAAAGCTTGCATGTGCCATGTGCTGTTGTCCCCTACTTTGTTTGATTTTAGAAAGGCTGATGCTTGCATGCGGCTGTCCCCTGTTCAGAGCAGATAGCACATGGGTACAGTTGTTGCTTCGTCTACTTGTGCTTTGATTTATAGATGCTAAATGGAGCAATACATTAGTTGTTCTTGCTCTATTTTATATGCTAATTGCACTGCCTTTTATGCTAATTTGATTTGCTTATTAGGCTGGAGGGTGCTCTTGCTCTGTGCTCTATTTTAGCTGCTACTGTTCTATTTGTGCTCTGTGCTAGACTGCTTGTAGATAATTAAATTGGTAGTTTACTGATTCCTACACTTTGCCATTCTCTGAAGTCTGAACTCATTTGGTTTATAAAAATTATGCAGCTGGAACCATGTCAAGTCCACCATCAATCGTTAGTGGATATGATCCCAAGAATGATCCAGCCCGGAAGCCGCAAAGGTCAAAAGATCCAGCATGGAGGTTTGGCTATTGGCTGAACCTACAAAACAAAGATGAGGTGGCATTCACCTTATGTGGTGGCTCAGTTCATGGAGGGATTAAAAGGTTGAAGCAACATTTGGCAGGAGGTTATGGAGATGCAAAACTATGTTCAGGTGTGAGCACTGAAGTTAGGAGGGAGATGGCAGCTTAAGAGGAAAAGACCATTGGTTCTAGATGATGAGGTGGTGGAGGTGGCAGCAAATGAGGCTCCTGCAAATGAGGCTCCTGCTGCGGTACAACCTAGTTCAGGGATAGCAACAAAAAAGAGGCAAGCATCCTTACAATTCATGGCTGTTGGCAACAAGACTAAACCAGATGGAAAGGCAAACAAATCTATAGTTGAGATGCTTCAAAAAACACCAGAAGAGATAGTAGATGAGAGACTTTGAGGGTCTTATTAGCCCACAATTGTGTCCAGTACAAAAACCAAGGAAGAGAAGCATTATGTGGATACACAATGCGCCTTGTTCTTCTATGAATGTGGCATACCTTTCAATGCAGTAGCAGCAAGGCAATTTTAGATTGCAGTTGAGGCCATAGCACAATATGGTTCAGGGTACAAGCCTCCAACACCATATCAACTTGGGGATCCATTACTTCAAGAAGCTGTGAAGTCAACAAGTACCATGCGAGAGGAGCATGAGAGAGCATGGAAACATTATGGCTGCACACTCATGTCTGATGGATGGTCTGATAGGAGGGGACACCACTTAATTAACTTCCTTGTAAACAACTCAGAGGGGACTTACTTCTTGGAGTCCATTGATGCATCAAGTGAAGTACATGATGCATACATGCTTGCTAGTTTGCTAGAGAAGAAGGTTGAGGAGATTGGGAAGGACAAGGTTGTTCAAGTTGTCACAGATAATGGTGCTAACTTCAAGGCTGCAGGCAAGATTCTCATGGACAGGATTCCTACAATATTTTGGAGTCCATGTGTTGTGCATTGCTTGGATCTCATGTTAGAAGATATAGGGAATTTGTCGGAATTCAAGAAACCTATTACACATGAAAGGCAAGTGACAACTTTCATCTATAGGCATGGGAGGATCCTTAGTGCCATGAGGGAGAAAATAGGAGGGGCTGACCTTGTGAGGCTAGCAGCCACATGTTTTGCAACGGCTTTTTTACTTTGAAGAGCTTGTATGAGCACAAGGATGCTTTGAAGTCTTTAATGGTTAGCGAAGCATGGACTGGGAACAAATTGGCAAAAACTAAGGCTGGTCTAGATGTGCATGACATTGTGCTCTCTATATAGTTTTGGAATTTAGTGGAAGATTGCCTTTGAGCTTCAGTCCCACTCCTTATTATGCTTAGGGTGGTTGATGGAGATGAGAAGCCAACAATGCCGGAGGTTCAAGCTCTAATGGACCATGGAAAGGAGAGGATCAATCAAAGCTTTGCTATCCCATCCAAGAAATCTTTGCTCAAGAAGATTATGGGAATAATTGAGCGACATTGGTAGAAACAAATGGATCATCCATTGTATGGGGCTGCACTATACTTGAACACAGGGCAGCCACATCCTCTCCTAAAAAAGGATGATGATGCAACCGCTGGATAGCTAAGAGGTTGCTTTCTTGATGTGCTTTCAAGAATGGTGGAGGATGAGGAAACTAGAAGCAAGATCAATGCTCAAGCCATGGATTATGAATATCTTAGAGGAGATGCTTTTTCAAATAAGATGGCTATTCAAAACCTTGAGTCAATGAATCCTCGTAAGTGTTTCATTTCCATTTTAATTTCAGCAAGTGTATATCACATCAATTTGATTCTAGCTAACATTTTTTTGTCCTAGCTTCTAACATATTGTTTCATTTCTTTGCTCTAGTTGATTGGTGGCGTTCCTATGGTGGTCATGCTATTGAGCTACAAAGGTTTGCAAGGCGTGTGGTTAGTCTTTGTGCTTCATCATCTGGCTCTGAGCAAAATTGGAGCAAATTTGAATCTGTGAGTATTTCCTTATTTGCTTACTGCCCTTACCAATATTTCAGCAAGCAGATTATTCATTTTTTGGTTGCAATTGTGCTTCTGGTTTTGTAGATCCACACAAAGAAAAGGAACCGATTGTTGCATAAGAGGCTGAATTCTATTGTCTTTGTTTCCTACAACCAAAAGATGAAATCTAGGTTCCAAAAGTTATGCCAGAACAAGGGAAAAAGCTTTGATCCTTTGGTTATTGAGGACTTTGATTGGAACAATGAGTGGGCTAACTCATTGCATGTACCCCCTCAAGGTGCTCGTGTGTGTGAGTGTGACCTTACTTGGAACCTTGTTGATGAAGCTATTGGAGCATCACAATCACTTCAAGGCCGGAACTTTCCAAGAGCAGCCCATAGGCGTGCAAGAAATTCTGCACCTATGGTGGATGAAGCTGAGTTGGGTTCAGACAATGAAGAAAATCCAGATCCATTTGATGATGCAGATGTGACAGATTGTGAGGATGATCCAAATGATGCCAATGAAATTGGAGAAGACAATGAGGCAGCCAACGTTGCTGGAGAGTTTGATTATGGCTATTGAGACTTGAGAGATTAGAGATTAAAGATTTTCTCTTTTGTAAGGTAATATATGTGCTGCACTAGCAGCACTACTAATTAAGTTATATATGCCATTAGAGACTAGTTTATGGCTACTAAAAGATGAAACATTTCATATTTGCTACTTGCTACTTTATGTGGTGCCCTAGAACTCTAATAGCACTACATATTATGCTTATAATTGGCTATATTAAGGTTGGACTGGCATCTGAATTTTTATTGGTATTATATATTAAATTATATGTATGGCGTCGCCTAGGAGAGCGCCTTATTCGCCTAGGCAGCTGGAAGGGGGTCGCTCACCTCGCCTCGCCTTACCGCCTTTAAAACATTGCTCTGCGCTGCAGCTACTACATCCACATACTTGGGATACATGTCTTTTCATTATGAAAGTCTGAGTGGAGAGCACTGTCTTTTCTAATCTTGGGGCACCTTAGTTTGTTAAACTTGTAATACATGTCTTGTATTAGCTCACATTATGTGTAAGCTTGGATTGTTCTTCTCAAAATTAAACTTGTGCTCGGATACGATGTACGGATTTTATGAATGTATCTTTGTGCATTGTGAACATTCTATTAAGCTTCATATGGACAAATATTATGAAACTGCATTATTGCTGCTGTAGCTACGTTTGTTCGAAACACGACGGTGATGATATGTTCTTCAACATCAGATCAAGCTGTGACCGGCATTCAAGTATTCATCACTGCTGGTTCAAGCATTGATCAGGTGTTCATAGAACGATCATCACTGTCGGATCAACCAATAGGCCAGCGATGATCAAGTACTCATCAACGCTGGATTACACAATAGGCCGATGTTGATCAAGTACTCATCACCACCGGATTGCACCACTAACAAGTGGTGACTTTACCGCTCATCAACGCTAGATCAAGTTGTGAACTGACGATTAGAGTATCATCAGTCCTGGATAAAGGTACAAACCGGTGGTGACCATGTAGTCATCACTGCTGGATCAAACGCTAAGACAAAGGTGACAACCCATTACCTTCGCCGGTTTTAGACCACCGGTGATACGTCCATATATCATCGCCGAGGGCTAAAACCGACAGTGATGAGGGGTTTCCAACCCGGCAGGGAAGATGTTTCTATAGTAGCTTGCCCAAGCCAACAAATTTGCCATTGCCATTGCCACAAAATGTGATGTTGACATAATATTTACTTGCATTTGAGTTGAGTGAGTTGAACATCTTATAATCTCCTGTCATTTTGAGTGCATCAAATATCCAACACCCACTGCCTCCTTTCAACTTTGTAATTAACCTACAAAATGTGATCAATTCTTCTTAGTTCCCAAACTTGATAATACCAAATTAATGACAATATATTTCTACTTAATCAACAAATGCATAGTTCAAGACGATATATTTCAATTCCTCTTAAATCAATAACAAACAGTATGGAAACATAATAATGTAAGGGGGTGTTTGGTTTGTAGAATGAAGTAGTCAACCATCATCTCACTTTCTAGTTTTTCATTTAGATTGTGGAATGGAATGTCGTCACCTCATACCCCACAAGCTAGTAGTTAGTACTTGTATGTGGAATGAGATCATTTTACTAAATTTGAGAAATGGACTCATGATGCATCACCTTATCTAAAATTGGTTAATTCGCCAAACCAAACACTCAATTAATGATGATGTGGATCAATGTGTTGTATGTGATCTGGACTAAGTGAGTCCAACTTGACACGTAAGTTAAGGTCCACCTGTCAGTGTCGATCTATTATTTTATTTGCCATGATCGGCGATCATAAGAGTTATCTAGAGTCAACCGTAGCCCCACAGTGTATATATGTGACCAAAGGTGATTTCGGGATGATGGCTAATCTCTCAACACCTAAACCCATCTAACTGATCAATTAGGCGCTGCGAGGGGTTTGGAAGCATGAATCCTTGTTCTAGGAGTCTGGAAGGCTACAAATCGGATCTACATCAAGTTCTTCATCAAGAGAGAGCCCCGGCTCTTAATTTGTGAAGATTGGAACATCGACTTCGTCTACGTCAACCCCACTGCATCTACAGATCGAGGCGTTCAGATGGCATCTATAGACTCCGGTTAGTCACCAAGATCAATTCTGCATAAGATTAAGTTTGCGGTCATGATTAGTCTAAGTCTAGGATGCTGTTTATGCTAAGTTGTAATTCAACACAACGTGCTCTTGTATAACATCAACACAATATAATGTCAATTTGTGAGTTCGGACCTACGCGTACATACTAGCTGGAATTTTTTAAGATGAAATTAATGGCATCTACTCTCTCCATTCCAAATTAAAAGTTTGACCAAAATTATATAGAAAATTATAAAAATTTATGACATCAAATAGATATACTATGAAAATATAATTAATGCAGGATCTAATGATAGGTATTTAGTATCATAAATGTTATTATTTTATTATATAAATTTAGTCAAACTTAAGATACTTTGACTCTCTAAGAAAGTTTCCATCTATTTTTTCATCCACCTCCCTAACTACCGGTAGTCGAGAGTTCCTTCCATCCGTCTAGACTTATATGACCCTAGATACTTAGGACAAATAAATCTCTATGAGGCTGAATAAACTGAATAGGAATATGAATCCTAATTCAAATAGAAATAAATTAGACAAAATCTTATTTTACTTGGCAAAGTTTCTGCTATGATATTTTTTCCTAACACCCGTATCTACTCAACCACAGGGACCTCTGTTCTCATCGGGTTTGTCAAAAGCAACCAACAAATCCTTTACGGATTAGAATCAGGCACTCCCGCCTTTTCAAAATTGCACACATGCCGGGAGTTTGGCCCCGTTCGCTTGTCTTAAAGTTTGGCTTGTTTGGCTTATTTTTTCAATCGGAACAGTGTTTTTCTCTCACAACAATTCAGCTGGAACAGTATTTTTCAGCCAGTTTCAGCCAAAGTTCAGACCAACGAACGGGGCCTTTATGTGTCCATATATATATGGTAGTACGTACGCGTTCATACTTTTTTTTTCTTTTTTAAGGTGATGACTGCGTGCCATATATAAAAATGGTATTTATTATGTATATACATAACACAAGAAAAAGAAATATTTATGTGTACCTGAATATTATGCCTAAAATGAAACGAAGTATATTTGCATACAGGAAAAAGTCTACTTAACCCACCCATCTTTCATACTTGGTCTACTTCACCCCCCAACTATGAAACCGTCTGTTTTACCCCCCTGAACTTTCCAAAACCGTCTATTTTACCCCCCGGTCGGTTTTGACAGTGGTTTGCTACAGTTTTGGAAAACCGCTGTCAAAAACCGATGTTACTGTAGCAAAACCGCTGTTAAAAACCGCCCGGGGGGGTAAAATAGACGGTTTTGGAAAGTTCAGGGGGTAAAACAGACGGTTTCATAGTTGGGGGTGAAGTAGACCAAGTATGAAAGGTGGAGGGTTAAGTAGACTTTTTCCTTTGCATACATTAGTACGACCGCACCACATACTAATGATCGTATATATGTCCATTTGCCCTATGATAAAGCGTATGTGTGGATACATGTACATGCCTAGCTTGGGAGTATATGTCCATATATATATCAATACTACAGAATTGTACATCACTACCGGCCTCATCACTATCGTATTTGTGAGAACCGGCAGTGATGTATCTTCACTGTCGGTTCTGAGCTTAAAATGAGAAAATGATTGGGGCTGGGCTAAAACCGGCAGTGAAGGACACATCACTATCGGTTTGTGGCTTGCACCGACAGTGAGCTGGTGGCCACTTATTAGTACCGTTTCTAGCCAAGAACCGACAGTGATTTGGTGTTACCACTGTCGGTTCTAGGCAAGAACCGACGGTGACAAAATGACAGTACAAAAAGCTGGCGCCGTCCTCTCTTTCCTTCTCTCTTCCATCCCGAGCACAGAGACGCGCGTTTGGGCCGCTCCTTCTTTTGTTGCAGCCGCTCATCACTGTGAAGCTAGCTCTTAGATTTGGAGGAATGACTTGATCTTTTTGCTTTAAGGTTAGTAACAAGCATCCACTCCTTTGATTTTCTTGCTTAATTAACATTGTTTTGATGGCTATATTGCTTGATTCTCATTCTAGTTCTTTCTCTATTCTAGAGAGCACTTTTTCAGTTGGACTTTGTGCAAGGCTTCCAAGCAAATTATGGTGAATCCATCGTCCAAAAAGTTGGTGTCTATGAACACATTTAAATTCCTAGCTAATTATTACATAGTGGTCAAGATCGTCATTGATAGTATGTGATGCTATAATTAATTCTTAGGAGTAGATAGATTCTTTTATAATTTAGATGAGCAAATTAACATATGTGTCACCTAACAACGCATTGATTGGAGCTACATTGCTGTTCATGATCATGTCTCCAATTTTAGTCTTTTTTTTAAATTAGTATCTCCATTTTTATGTCGCATGGAGTAGAATAATTGATCTTCATTATTGTGCAATAATTGTTTTTTATGGGGCTATGATTTTCAATTTATATGACCCGGGTTACCAATTTCAATTTTTCAATAATTAGTGTATAATAATGTTTTCCAAAAATGGGGTGACTAAATTAAATAAGTGTAGAATCAATGGTACTTTCGAGCTACAATTGTTGTTCATGAAACTCCACTTCTTATTAATTTCTCTGTAATTACTGTCTCAATATTTTTTTGTGCAGAGACAGTTCGAGAGTGGATGCATCTATCCCGAATGAATAAGTGGTACATGCATGGCATTAGCCAGTTTATCACCGATGCCAAAGCCCATACTGAGAATGGGAACACTATCTTCTGACCATGTAAAGATTACATGAATCAAAGGAAATGGTAGAAAACTGAGTCTATATGATCGCACTTGATTACTAGGGGTTTCATGCCAAACTACATGATATGGACTATGCATGACGAGGTTGGTGTGAATGCTCTGCAGGGAAATGATGATGATGCGGCCATGCCTGATGTGGCCATGCCTGACATAGCCATCCACAAG